GTTCTTTTTATGACTTCTATGGATCACTTGACTAGGCCGATGGGAAAAATCTCCTTCCAGAAGCTCAGCCTAGAAGGCTTCCCTTTTCCCTTTTGGCAGGTGACATCTATGCACAGAGTGTGGACTCCACTATCCCAGACCTCTGCAAAGTGCATCAGCTACTTTTCCCCTAATAATTTCATGAGTAGGTGGGGCAGGTATTCAGCACGTTAAAGCAAGGGCTAATCATGGTGCCTGACACATGCTAGGCATGGCCCCAAGTCCTGCAAATCTTCACTTTCTCCCTTTCATCCAAAACATAAGCAGCCCTCTGCACTAAAGTACAGAGAAAGGAGCTGACTGTTAGGACAGTGCCAGTCTGCCCAGCTACACCGTGTAGTGTGGGTCCGTTGAAGAAAGAAGGCACTCCCAAGATGAAATTTTAAGGCCTATGTGACAGCAGGAAGGTCCAACCTCTTCTGATGGACTGAACGCCAAACAGCCATTTATTGAAAGTTACACAAAGTATTTCCTCATACCGAGGTCTCTAATCTTGATTCACAAATGTCTTACTGAAGAAGAGCATCACATGCCTCCATGGCTCTAGTCCTTTATTATGTATCGTGTGCAGTGCAGTACACAAAAATACAGGAGCCTTGGGTGTGCCTGAGGTGTCCTGTGACCAAAATCATGGGATGCCTGCAAAGCCCCTTCAGCAAAACAATTCTACAGATCACAGGAAACTATCACTGTTTTCCACAAGGATTATTCAAAGTCAAAGTACTTCTTAAAAAAAAAAAAACACACACACAGTTGTTTGTTCTAATGTCTACTCCATACAGTGATTTTGCTAAATTCTTGCAACAGCAGTCTCCCTCCATCCACATGGAGGCAGCGATTATCTTTTCCCAACCTCCATTAAAACACAGAATGGGGCTGGGAGATGGCTCATCAGTAAAGTGCACCAACTGCTCTTCCAGAGGACCTGGGCGTGATTCCTAGTGCCCAACACCTGGCTTACAGTGGTCTGTAACTCTAGTTCCAAAGGACTAGACGCCCTCTTCTGGCTTCCTTGGACACTGTATCCAAGTGTCCATACATATAAACATCCATACATATAAAATAATACAATAAAAATTTAAATGCATCATCAAGCAATGCAAATCAGCTAGAACCCACTAAATTGTGGAATCCTCTGAAGAAACAGCCACGTTTCGCCTTGGGGGAGAGCACCTGGATGGAATGGGGAATGTGGCGAGTGTAGGGAAGGGATTTATGTGTTAAAGATGTGTGTAAGCAATAATGGAGAACGAAGTCCGGCAGGAGAGAAGTGCAGGGGGGCAGGGCTTAGAGAGAGATTTCTCTCTCCCCTTTTGATGATTGCTGGGTAAGAGGAGGCGGGAAAATATCTTGGTCTGAAAAAAAATATGGGGCCCAGCCTTCTGCCGAGAAGTCAGGTGGAGCTCCATGAGCTCCACGTCCCTTGCCCTCAAGGGACTTTGTGATCTTGAAATGATAGGCAGAAGCCATGGCCTCACTTTAAGGAAAAGCAGAGACAAAATGAATGAAAGCTTAACTGTAGAGACAGCAGATCACCCCTGGGAAGACTTGCTTTTAGTTTTTCTAACACAGCTGGGCCTCGGCTGTATCGAGCATCACGCTCTCCAGCTGCAGATATCTGAAGGAATAATTTACGTACTCTGAGAAGGGCAGGCATGAGTTCTTGAATGCTGACACTGAATTTTCATCTGAAGCACTGCCTCAGCTTGGGAAAGGAAGATGGAGATGGTCAGGAAATAAGGATTTGATCATCTTCCTCAGAATCCTTGGGTACCAGATGCTCCCAATGCCCAAGTCACCCATGCCACCAGACATTTCCAGAAGTCATCCGGTCCCCAGCTCCAGTTCCAGCGATGTGAGGAGACAGACAGCCCTCCACATTTTATACCCTGTTCTAGGTCATAGCAGAGGGTCATGGCTTGGCAACATATGGTTACTCTAGCCTAGATGTAAATCCTGCATGAGTCATTCTGAAGCTTGGGTGCCCTAGACTTCATCATGTGAGGAGAATGTTTTCCTTTTCCTTATCAGTGACACACACACTCTAGCTGTTTTCCCCAGCAGGATGTACTTTATCTTAACACCAGACGATGAAAGTGACAGTTCATGACAGTTTGTCAGGCAAAGGACCACAGAGTCCCAGGGCTTGGGAGAGGGCAGGATGGACAGGTGGCGCTCAGCAGATTTTTAGGGCAATAGAGCTATTATTCTGAGTGCTGCCATATTGTGTGGCAAATGTCATTATCTGCTTGTCGATCCCCCCAGGAGGACCAACACCCAGAGTGAGTCTAGTGTTGATGGTGAGCCTTCACTAATGATGGTGTTAGTTAATGTTAGTCCATCGAGGCCCCTGGATAGAATGGGGACCTAGCTTCTAAAGGGACCCGGTTTGTATAGGATAAGGACTGACGTGTTAAAGATGTGTCTAAGCAATCATTGAGAACGAGGTCTGGCTGGAGAGACGTGCAGAGGGCGGAGTTAGCAGAGAGGCAGCATACCATATCGCTCTTTCCTTTTGGTGAACCCCTTGCTCTCTCCACACCAGTGCTTTAGGTCAGGGGGGAAACTGAGCATGTAGGGGTTCTCTCTACTTATTTGGGGTTTGTTTTTGTTCCTCGCTGCCCAGTTTTAGATGTGTGCGAGCCAGCAAACTCATTGGCAGAGTGCGTTAGCACCCAGCCCAGGCTCCTGAGCTCAGGGGTGAAGGGATAAGGGACACAGGTTCCTTTTCAGTGGAGTAGCAAGCGGCTGACTGCTTAGGAACCACAATACATTTTTCGGGTTCTGGAAACACACAGTGCAGAAAATATCGCTACTGTATGAGCTGTGATGAGCAGTTGTCAAAGGGAATCCCAGACTTACAGATCAGTCAGACACAAGATGTGTCCTCTCGGCTTCATTCCGAAGCATGTGAGGTTCAGTGTCCCTTGTGAGTTAAAAGAAAAAGTGCCCTAAAATTGCTGTACATTTAGTCTGCCTTTAATCCCCACCAACACTCAGCGAGAGGCCAAAACACAGCGAACTGGAAGACTGTCAGAGGGAAACTCACATGCTCTCATAACGTCAGTGGGAGACGTAAAATCATGAGCAAAATTCAAGTTTCCTGCCCAGGACACAGAAAAACACCCAATACATGGATACTAAATAAATGAAGTTCCCCCCCCCCTGCCCCAAAGAATATTCATGTCGGGGCTGAGGGTAGAGCTCAGTGATTGACAGGACAAAACTTAGTGGGTCTGAGGCACTGGGTTTGATTCCCAGAGGGAGAAAAAAAGAAATGAGGCAAGGTGGGGGAGGGGAGGAACAGGCTGAGAAGAGAGGGGAAACCTCACATGCCTGAGTATCTTAGATGCTAACAGAAAACGGACAAGACCTCTAGGCTCACAATCTGATTCTCTGCAGCATTTCCTTAGAGCTGTCTCTGCAGAGAACTCTGATGAGGGTATGATAGTGTGTGTGTGTGTGTGTGTGTGTGTGTGTGTGTGTGTGTGTGTGACATGTAGAATGTGTGCACGTGCTATGTTTGAGTGGAGGACACGGGGTGTTGTCTTCTCTTGTTACTCTCCTACTTTCTGTCTTTCCTTTTTTTTTTTTTTTTTTTTTTTTTTTTACTTTTGGACGCAGGGTCTATCATTGAACCAGAAGCTCACCAGCTCACCATTTGGGCAAGTCTGTCTGGCCAGAGAGTCCCCCAGCATCTGCCTTCCTCTCTCTGCCCCCCCCCCTCCCCAACACTGGAGTTACGGGCATGCGAAGCCATGCTATTGTTACATGAACTCTGGGGCTTTGAATTCAGGCCCTCTTGCTAACGCAATAGGCACGTACTGAGCCATCACCCAGACGGTGGTGGACCACCTTGCTCATTCCTAATGCTGGAAACTACTAATCTGAAAGCCAAGTGCCTGTAGGTTTCAGATTGTAAAGCACTTTGGACTTCAAATTTCTGGATTAAAAAGTATTCAACTAGGAATTCCAGACTCTAACCTGAGACAATTAAGGTCCCAACCACTCCAGATTAGGGATGCTCAAGCTGTATTTGTTTTCTTCCTGCTATCAAAAACATTAGGGGTGAAAGTCTGGCAGATCACCTTCTTGGTACCTCAAAGAGGAGGACACGCCTCCATTATCCCTGAAAATTCAATTGACTTTGTTTAAAAATCAAGCACATTATACTGACCTGGCAGCAAATACCCATAATCCCAGTTCTCAAGATGCTGAGACAGGAGAATTATAAGTTCAATGCTAACTGGTTCCCACAAGGTCTCTGATCTCAACAAATATTTCATGGTAAGCCTGCCCACCTTAACACACATGAACATACACAGCAGATGAATAAATGAAAAATAAATGAGTATAAAAAGTAAAATCTAGAATATTCATTTCAATAACTAATAAGAAGAAATTGGAAATAAAGATAAGTCTAAAGAAACCCATTGCCATATCATTGTATTTCATTCTGGAACAAAATTTGAATTTCCTTCTAAATACAGGTATCACTGAAACTATGGACCCTTACTAAAACAAAATAACAAGTCCCTTTTGTAAAGAGATGAGACCTTGCTAGATCGCACAGTCCCACTCCCTGGGGCCTTTGCGGAGGACAAAGCCTGCAGAGGCGAGCCGGCTTCTCTATCCTGAGAGGATTTATAGAGAGTGCTGTTGACTTTTACTTAGTAGAACCTTCCTTCCAACACCCAATGGGCCAAGACAGACCTTTTTAATTCCATTCCGGAATAAGAGTCAGTAGAACAGTGAGGAAGTCCACAGGAGACCGGACACACTACCCACAGCTGGCTTCTCGGCCTCCGCATTCGCTAACAAGCACCTCATTATCTGCTCCGCTGACACACAGCCCAGTCTCCTTCAAGACCATTGGAAATGGCTGCGTGGGACATGCAGGTCTAACGCTGGACTCCCGCGTGTCGTTTGCTGAACCTTGCCCGTGTTTCTTTCTCTTGCAGAGCCACGGGCTTCGGCTTCTTGAATGCTCTCTGTAAAGCTGCGGCGGTCCTGGGAAACCTGATATTTGGCTCCCTGGTCAGCATTACCAAAGCAATCCCCATCCTGCTGGCTTCCACCGTGCTCGTGTGTGGCGGACTCGTGGGGCTGCGCCTGCCCGACACAGGAACCCAGGTTCTGATGTGACGGAACAAAAGCCATCTCTTCCCACCGTGGGTCGGTCCTGCTGCCTGCCTGACTCCAGGCTGCAGAGATTTTTGTGTATAGAAAGGCGGCCGGGTATCAGAACAAACTTTTGCTGTGACTTAAAGTGTAGCTGCGTATCGTCTTGCCCCTCCAATGTGACTTTGCACTGTTTTGTTTTTTTCCAGGCGTTGTTATCTCTATCTAACCGTGATCCTCCTGCCTCCCCGTACCCCGTGAAAGTGTTCCTAAAATGTCCCAGTCAGCCTGGCTTTCCTGGCGACTCTGTTCACTGACACTGAGAAACTAAAAAGTCTGTGCTGGTGTAGGAATAGACTCTGCCCCTGACGCATCATTAACAGGAAGTTTAAGTTGGCATAATTGCTGCAGAAGCCAGATTTTCGAGCCTGATCCATGTGAGGGCTGCAGCCATCACAGTGACTGTCTGGGGCTGTGCCTGGGGATGACAGAGTTTGAAGACCAGACAGAGATCCTCTGCCTCTCTTTGCATTCCCTCGCAAGCTGTCCCAGAATTGGCCAGATAGCAGATTTAGGGAAAGAAAGCCACTTCTTAAAAAGTTTGCATCTGCCTCTTCAATTCTGCTACTCCTTTCCAATGTCTCTGGTCCAGTGACTGGCAGTGGAAATTAGAAACTGGTAAGGCATTCACAACCAAAGGGCACCTCTCTCAATACTGTTTCTGGAGGGTCAAAGCCATTCACCCTCCTTTGTTCCTCTGTCCACTGTCACTTTTTAGCCCCCATCTCCACAGCAGGTCCTGTCTCTCCAGCTTCCCGGGGCTATGGGCACCCAGCCTTGTCTCTGGGTTGCCTCTGAGCCCGCCTCCTCTCCCAAGCAACCCTCTGGCAGGCTGGGCAGCATCTCCTGGTGGATGTCTGGCTCTTTTACCTCTGGAATCTTCATGAGCGTGGAAGGAGAGGTCAGCAGGACATTCCCACGGGCCAGCTGTCAACTAAATGACCCTTCTGGTCTCTCGCTGACTGCCCCTCCCCCAAGCCCATCCTTTTACACGTCTTTGAAATCTGAAGCCACCTTGTAGATTTGCAGCCGGTGATAACAGCCAGCATAAGCTCCATGTTTGAACAACATTCTCTTTTTAACTCCCTCTGTCTTGGTGGAGGGCGATCCTTGTTGCTTTTCTGCTATTCCTGCATGACCACAGCCCTGGGGCCTCCAGAAAAAGGAAACTTTTGTTTCCACTAATCAGTATGTTCAGAGATGGCCCTGCTCCCTGGAGCCACCGGCACCCCACCCCCTCCACCCCTCCCCCTCCACATTCCCTGATCCCTCCTGGAGCTCAAATTCTGTGAAAAGCTCTTTGATTAACATAAGCCATTAATCCACTGTCCCCAGCAAGTAATTCAGGCTTGGTGGTGGGGACAGCCTAGAGTTAAGATGGGAAGCCTCAGAGAGTAGTTCCCTGGAGATAATATAGATACTCTGAGCCAGGACATCAAGGATGTCAGGGCAAAATCTGTAGAGGTGGCCAGAAAAAGGAAACTCTTCAAGACCAGGCACGATTGATTTGAAAGACACCAACAAAGCAGGAGGCAGACCAGAACTCATTTCTGCTTCCTTTCGCATCCCTGGGAAACAATCCGGTACTTTAAAAACATAAGAAAGTATCTTTTGCATTATTCATTTTTCCACATGGGTTCGTTTCCCCCTCCTATTTACCCGTGATTTGTCTTTTTTTTTTTTTTTTAAGTCATGTTTGGGGCCCAGAACAGATCTTTTGGTTGAATGTGACGTGCAAAGAAAATGCTGCAGAAGTAAGATATGACTCTATCTTTGCACAGGAAGGAAAAGCTGACATATGCAAGGGCATTGCTTTCTCGACTCGTGCATGGTAGGGAACTCACTGGATAATCTTTAGTCTCAAATTGCCCGTGTTCTCTGTCTTACAGTCTAACCACATCAAGTCCATTCCAAACTGCAAGACAGAGTTTTTATCTGGATGCTGTGTTGGGTCAGCATGGGATAACCCAGCAGAACCCTGTTTTGTAAGACCGTCTGCCATCTATCCCCTTCAGAAGAACTATCCTGGTCATCTACCCCAAGCTTCCCAGGTGGCCCAAGAGGGATCTCTTCTAATCCTGGACAATCAGTGGTCACAAACCTTCTTGGTCACCCCCTTTCCCACCGCCCATGTTTTTTCCTCAACCTTTTCATTATGCATCACATTCATTGTCCATGATAGTGTCTTCACTGCTTCCCAAGTATGTGGGGTGGCTTGTCTGGGTTTAATTAGAGATTAAGAGTTAACCGTCAGATTCAACAGAAGCCCCGGTTTTATGAGTGTTATAGGCCTTGGCACCAGGGCAGACATCTGCTGTCCCATTTCATACACAGCAAAAGGAAATTGAAAGCTGATTGAAAAAGGAAAGGAAACAGCCCCATTTGTACCTGAGTTTGGAACTCCATTTCTGACTAAGATTTCTCCCACTGCTCTTCAGAATCAGTCCAGGACACTCCCAAGTTTTACTCTCACTGAATCCTCTTACTAGGAAAGAAAACAAAACAAACAATAGCAAACCAGCTGCCCTGCACTGTGACTTCTGTCAGATGCCCCCCTCTACCTGTTGGGTCTTAAGGCTCCATTCATTCCTATTTCCTGATCTGTCTCACACCTGAGTACTGACCCAAGACACAATATCCATGGGGTCTCAGAGGCACAGGCTCCACCACCAGGCTGAAATCTTTCTGGGGCGAATGCATTTGATCTTAGCCAAAAGGCCGAGAATTAAGTCACTGGACATATTGGTCCTCAGTTTCCCCATCTGTAGAGAAGAAGGATGACACTATTTTATTCTCTAAGATACTATGGGACTAAAATGAGAGTAGCTTCATCTTATCTGACTTCTGCTGATGGGAAGCCCACCTTCATGTCATACCGAAAATCAGACAATAACCAAGTCTATAAGGAGGTGGCTTGGGAAGACCTCATACCATAGGCTAGAACAGTTTCATGTTGTCTATGCTGCCCATGCCTAGGGATTAAGCGTATCTCGTGTCAGGGCCACGGGAACGGCCATTCTTATCCATCCAGGGAATGGGCGACCCTGGAAGACACACTGCAGTTAGAAGCCAGTCTGATGGAGGTAGACCCTTAAAGGCTGGATCCTGTAGCCCCCTCTCCATCTGCTTCACTGTTGTCTTGAAATTATCTTAAATGGATCTAGGCCATCAGGAACAATGTTTCTCGATGACTTGACATAAATTGGTAGATGGATCCTCATTTACAGATTCCACCAATCAGAGCTCAAGTTTGCACCAAAAACTTAATTTGCTTTTGGAGTATCTCCGGACATCAAGGGAGAGCCAGCAAAAGAGATGTGACCATGGAGGGTGAGTCCAGTGTTCTGTTGATAACGTTCCAGCGATGAGATTAGTGCACCTGGGAGACATTCTAAACTCTAGGACCGATTCCAGAGCATTCCGTGGGAATACTTTCTGATGTCTTCTGCCAACCAAAATAGAATATGATATTCTCCAGTTTGTTTCTACCTTATATCAAAAAGGCTTTTTACCTATTTCTTCATCAAGATGCCTTATTTGTTCATATACAAAAGGCTCCGAAGCCAGGAATGCCTGGATTTGACCTCCACCTGGAATTGTAGACAACTGACATATTGTTTGGGACCTAGTGGCTGTATATCAGGTTTCTTTTAAATCCCATATTGTGCCAAACTTAGACTAGTTACCAACCACCCTCACCACCACCACCCCAAGTAGTCATGCTGAGACAACAAAAACACATCTGCGCAGTAGAGTGCTCAGAAGTGACCTATGTGTTTCTTCAAGTTTTCCTTCTGCTGAGCAAAGTGTCTATTTTAGGTAACATGTCCCTCGAATCTGACAAAAGGAACTTGTCAGGCGCTTAGATGCATTGCGTGTCCTTTCCCCGTTTCAGGAAACTGGCAATTCTCCACGGACTGTTCTGTCGCTTTCACTATTGACGGTTCCCCTGTCAACAATCTCTCAGCAGCCACATGCAAGCCGTCGGGGGCTTCCATCCACCTTCCTCAGCTCCCAGATGCAGCTGAGTCATCCCAGCATTCCGAGCCCCAGGGTACACAGCCTGCTGGTCTGTTTAGGTCATTGATGAGAGCCGTGGAGCTGGGTTGAGGAGAGAGTCGGGTAGAGTAGGTATATCTCCTTTCATGAGTTTGTTGGGTAAGTATTGGCTGACCATCATGCTAGGTGTTCAGGCACTTAACCCTCTGTGGCATCTCTTTGAGAACAGGGAGAGCCAGGGGAATGAACAAGACACTCTCATCTCATCTCATCTCATCTCATCTCATCTCATCTCATCTCATCTCATCTCATCTCATCTCATCTCATCTCATCTCACGGTGTGTATAAGTCCTCTCTGTCAATGTCATATGTCTCCAAGTTTTAAACAAGTTATAACCTACAACAGGTAGTACCAGAACTATGCAGTGATTGGGGTGACCTGTGACAGAAGAAAAAGCTTCTTAGTTAGACGGTCTTTGTGGAAGGGAGTCCTAAACAGTCCTTGAAAAGTAAGACACATTCAATCACGTGTTTTTTCACATGGTCTCAACAGGAAATTGCACCAAGATATTGTACAAAGAGGAGTCAGCAGCAAAGATAGCCCTTGCCTTTCTAGAGATGTCCATTTCTCCAGAGCTGTTCTTCACAGGGAGCTAGGAAGTAAGTGTGTTCCGCTCCTGGCAAGCTAGAGCTCTCTCTCCAGGGCCTCAGCGAGCCCTGGCAACTGACTGCTGATCTCTGGCCTCTCCTCCACTCCTCCCAGGAGGTGTTTCCTTTCTGATGTTAGAGATTTGTGACTCAGTCACGCTGTCTTGCAGACATCCAAAAGCGACTTTTCCCTTCTGTAGCCTCAGCAAGCAAGTCACCCAGAAAACGGGTTCTGACAACAGGAGGCTTACGATGGAGGTTACAGGTTACAGTTTGGAATGGAGTGTGGGGTTGTTACCAAGTGTTCTGAAGCGGCAGAGGAGCTTTGGGGCTCTAGAGCCTCCAAGGAGGCAGGGCAAAGAGAGTGTGGAGTTACTGGCCCTCCGAGAGCCCTGGGTGCCTTTTCTGCTCCCCAGCTCTGTCCCTGTCCTCTGGCGGCTCATATTCACTCTCTTCCTTTCATGAATCGCCCTCCTTCCTTCCTGTCACCTCTTGACTCCAGCAGGGTCCAAAGGTGAGGGTAAGCACCAGGACTCAGGAGTGTACGAGTTCCTGACTGAGGAATGTACGTGTCCTTACCTGTATGGAACACAGAGGATGGAGACCCTGGGGGAATAGGAGTGAAGTGATATGGTGCTCCATGGGTCCCTCTAAAGGTTTGCATGTCTGATGTCTTCCTCCTAGCCCCACACCCTGATAAGATTAGCATAGAACCAGAGGGGCCCATCTCTGAGCAGAAGACATCCTTTGGCTTCCCAAAGGAGCATTCCTCTCCAAGAGCATGGCATTCAGTGAGAAACGGATGGATGGCACATAGCTTTTTCTTGTCTGCATAAATCCTTACTCAGGACTGAAGGTCAGAGGCTTAAACTACAAAGGTTGCCCATCCTCTGCCTGCCCTACCATATTTGCGTGGCCCCTAGAGCCAAGAGCATCGAGAACCAACAAGAGGCAACAGCTTTCGGCCTTGGGTTCAAACTCAGATAAGTTTTAATGTCAAGCTCAAAACCTTCCATGTCAGCAAGGATAGGGGGCCCTAAGCAGCTTCCAGGTGCTGTGAGCAGGACTGGCCAGCCAGAGCCTAAGGGGTGGTATCGTCTAAGTCCCACCGTGGATGGGAACAGGCTCAACCCAGTTCTTCAGACCCAGTTGTTAAAGCTTCAGGAATTTTAAGAAAGCCAGTCAAGAAATATAGCTATCATTAAAATTTAAACACAATTAAATCAGTTATATTTTAAAGCAATCTATTCAAAACTCATCACTTTCTACTTATTTTGCTACATTTTTCTACTAGCCATGCCCTTGGGCAATAGATGCCTAGTATATCTCTATTATGGAAGTACTATGTAATGGTGTCCTATTGGACGTATATTCCCAATGACAGGGTCAATGACATTATACTGAGCTCACCCACAGTGATAATAATATTTATAGCAAGGAAAGCAGCCAATGCTATAAGTCAGACTCCTCCTGCCCCTATATAACCCCAGGCATTGGTAAACATTTACCAACATTTCACTTTCTGAAGCCCTGAAGAATATCTAGCTTCCTATAACTCAGCAGTCACATGCTTTGCTAGCAGGCAAAGGGCCCTGGGTTCACAGGGAAAGAGGTTGGGCCTCCCCACATACAGACCCAGGCCCCCTGGAATTGAATGTCCCCTCGGGCTTGTGAGTCAGCATTCCATTACCCACAACTACAGGGGAAGGAAAGATTTAACAAGAACTCATGTCAGTACTCCAAGGCTTCCCTCCACACTCACATTGGCTCAGAATAGGACCAGCCATGCAGAGAACCCACCGGCCTCTGGGTATTGTACCTTCAGGGAAAATTGCAGAAAGTTAGCTGTTTCATGCACATTCCCACGCGTGGTTGTATATCCTCTGCCTGACCCAGGCAAACACTGAACAGACCATGAGCTCTTTATCAGCGTCTGAAAAAGAAAGCCCGAGAAGAGGTTCTTCACGGTGCACTTCCGCCTTGGTTGCCTGCTCAGCCTACAATTCCGCCCTGCTTTTGGCCATGGGATCCCGGCAGGGGTCCTGTCCTTGCTTTGGGTGTATGGGTGTTTCGGCTTTGTATTCTTTCTCTTCTCCGTTTTCAGTGCTGTATCTGCTGTCCCACTGTTTGGTCCAGCCCCTCTCCCCATTGTACTGTATATATGTGCTGCATGTGTGGTGTGAGACCTCAGTAACTCCCATTTCAGGCTTCTGGAGTTCCCTTCTCGAGTTCAGCTTATCCTGATGTGAACTCATCTTTCCGGTATGGCTCCTCTGTGTCTCATTTCCGATTGCCAAAATGTTGGGCCAAGTGTGTTTTCACAAATGTCCCAAGACAGCCATGTGTGTGTATCCTTGTGAAAGGGCATGCTCTGTGTGGGATGGCTCGTGTACAGCGTAAATCGATCACATGTGGAAGTGTGTATTCATTTATATGCCAGATAGCTACCATTCATGTAACAGCTACAAAGATATTTAATGTACATCAGATTAATAAAAGAGCATTTTTTGCTCCATTATATTCAAATAAAGATTACTGTGTGACTGCCCTTCCCTTCCAAACAATGGCCCTCGAGGCGCAAGCATAGTCTGCTGGGTGTGCTGGGGCAAGTTTGTAATCCCAGTGTTCAAGAGGCCCAAGGAAGAGGGCTAGAAGTTTGACGCCAGCCTGGGCCATGTAGGGAGACCCTGTCCTGCGGAGGGGGATGGAACAAATGAACAACACGAAGCCCAGGTTTTTGCTCTTGGTTCTAGAGAAAGCCATGTCCTGGGGTGCCGGCCAGTTTTAGTTGCTTTTGTAGGCTGGTTCCATGGGTACTGGTGTGTTGTTGATTTTACAGGGATCCTTCCCAACGGTTACCTAGGGCCACTGGGGAGAAAACGCTGGGGGAGGGGGTGAAGCAGATGCTTGTGTTATTTGGTCCTAAAGCAAGAACAGTTAACAGATTTCTGTCCACACATCGCCGCTAATTAATTGATATTGACTGTTTAGAACATTCATTTGAGAACAATGAGGGGGGAGATGCTATATTTGATGATGTTCAAGTTATAAGTGGAAACAGAGGCTACAAAGCCTATTTGCTGTTCCCCAAAGAAGACTTTTGACTGGTTTTAACAGAAGACCTAAGTATCCCTTTGTTCTTCTTTAAAACAGGGTCTTGCTGAGTTTGACAGGCTACACTCCAGGGACCCTCCTACCTCTGTTTCCAGGGTAGCCATGACTACCAGCTCATATCATGGCATCCTACCAAGAATTTGGGTTTCTAACTGTGTATGTGTCTGTGTGACTATGCACCATTTGTGTGCAAGTACCTGAAAAGAACTACAGAAAGCACTGGATCCCCAGCAGCTGGAATTGCAGGCCAGCATAAGCTGCCAGTGTGGGTGCTGGGAACAGAACCTGCGTCCTCAGGAAGAGCACAGCACTCTTAACCATGTTCCAAGCACCAAGAACTTTTACAAACAGCAAAGTTATCACAGTGTGAGTTGACAACATTAATGATGACCCAGGTTCTTTCTCTCTTTCAGATCAGCTCTCCTTAGTGTACTGGTTGGTTTTCATTCCCATAGGAGTTCAAACTAGTGGCAGGAGCTCTAAATAGCACATCTTGACATAATAATCTAAGGGCCAGAAGTAACTGTTCCCTCTTCCCGAACCTTTTTTACATAGAGGAGAAAATTCTGAGTCCTTCAGCAGACTTCCCTGTCTCATTGGCTGGATTTGTATCATCCACACACTCCTAAACCAATCACAGGAAATGGGATGAAGAGTACCATACTGCTTAGAGCAGACAAGATTCATGTCTCCATAGGGCCAGAGAGGAGCTGGCCTCCCTTGAAGCTAGTGGCTTCTGACTGTCTGAACATGTGGGAGTCTGTTGGAGTCCAGGTTCTTTGGGGGACGAGAGAGGAATGAGGAAGTATTAGATAGAAATATAGACGTGGATGGAGAGAAAGACAGAGACACAGGATAGCTTCGGGAGGGCCCTGGGTCAATACCCAGTCATCTCACGATTTTTTCCAGAGGGCTTTTTATACAATGCCAAAGAGAGAGGCAAAAGACCTCCCCCTTTCAAGCTCAAAGCACAACGTACAGCCAAGTGTAGAACCTTCAAAATACCTGATAACCACGCCCGTGGCCAAATCATCCTACAGAGTTAGTTCCAGGAGAGTCAAAGCTATACAGAGAAGTCTTGTCCCAAAATAAATAAATAAAAATAAAAACTGCTATTCACTCATTTTCCTTTCTTTTTTGTTTCATGGTGAGACTTTGATGAGAGCAAGCACAAGATGCTGTATGTCTCAGGGATGATGGGAACATAGGAGGCTAGGATGCAGATGAATTGAGCAGGGCATAGTATGAATTCTTTTGTCTTCTCTCTTTGAAACTTTTTCTAAGTATATGTGATGTGAATATGTGTGTATGCTCATTTACTGGGTGTGAGCTTGAGTGAATGCAGGTGCATGTGCGTGAATAAATGTGTGTGCACATGCATGCACACACATGGAAACTGAAGTTGACAACAGGTGTCTTCCTCAATTGCCCTTTATTTATTGAGGCAGAGATTCTTGTTTGAACCAAGGGCTCACCAATTCTGGCGAATCTATCTACCCAGCTTGTCCCCAGATCCCCTGTTTAGACTTCATACTGAAAGAATAGGCAACTGCCATCTCCTCCTGACTGAGCTTTTAAGTTTGCACAGTATTGTGGTTTGAAAGAAAATGGCCCCCACAGGAAGTGGCACTGTTAGGAGGTGTGGCCTTGTCGGAGGAAGTGTGTCACCATGAGGGTGGGCTTTGAAGTCTCTCTTGCTCAAGATACTGCCAGTGTTTCAGACCATTTCCTGTTTCCTACAAGATGTAAGACTCTCAGCTATTTCTCTAGCACCACATCTGCCTGCATGCCACCATGTCCTACCATGATTATAATCGGCTGAACCTATGAACTGTAAGCCACCCCAGTTAAATGCTTTCCTTTATAAGAGTTGCCGTGGTCATGGTGCCTCTTCACAGCAATAGAAACCCTAACTAAGCCATACGGTGAGTGCTTTATCCACTGATCTCTCAAATTGTCATCCCTTTGTGAGGGAGACAAGGTCTCAGGTAGCCCAAGTGAGCTTTGTGTTTCTGATCATCTTGCTTCTACCTCCCAAGTGCTGGGATTACAAATATGCACTGTCATGGCCTGGCTTCTTTATTTTTCAACCATTTCAGGTGATTGAAGCCACAGCCTCGTGTGTACTAGGCAGGTGCTATACCACCGAATTAGATCCTTAGTCCTCCCTCGTTGAGATTTCTAAGGACAATATCTATAAACCTGGCTCGGTCCAGTGTCAGAACTATTCTCACTGTGTGTAGCTAAGCAATCTGTGGGTCACACCAAGGCAATGTAGTTCTGGGAGTGTGCCTTTTCTTGATGTTGGTGTCCAACAAATGGAGTCACCATGATTACTTGTATTCATACATTAGCTGGTTATGTCCACCGTAAGAAATCACCATAGACTGAGAAGCTTAACCAAACTTTATTCTCTTGCAGTTCTGGAGAGTTGAAGTAGGAGATCAAGGTATGAGGCCATCGGTTTCTTCTAGGGTCTTCTCTTTTTAGTTGTCCGTGGCCACTTTGTTCAGATGGTTTCACATAGTCTTCCCTCAGTGTATTTCTGGGTCCTAATATCTTAGAGGACACTGGTCTGTATCGGGCAAGGACCCCCCAAAGGACCTCATTGTAGTTTTACTTAAAGATTGTATCTCTAAACATAATTACATTCTGGGGTCCTGAGGGTTTAGGGGATGAACCTACGAATTCAGAAAGAACATACTTTCAGCCCATCTTACTATCCAAGTGCTACTGATTTCACTGTCCTTGTGGATGGTCACATTGTTTTCATATGTGTATAGAATGTGATTCAACATGCCTCTGCTCACATAAAGGATAACATGGGCTCTGTGCATATATTTACACTTGTAATGAGCTGTTCATATACAGAGGGAGGTCAAGAAAGAACAATCCAGGATGGACCCTTGGACCCTGTACTCATAACCCCAGAGGCAGACCCCCCCCCTCCCCAGGGCAGGCTTGGGTTTCACAGACCCCAATCTGTGAAGTCTGTGTCAAGCTGTTCTTACAGCCATGGCTGTTTGTCTCCTTCTGCCTCTCTCCTCTTTAGAATTCCACAGGAAACCATGCTTTCATAATAGAACTCTTTTTCTTTGCGTCAGACATCAGGGATGCGTTCTACAGCCTCTGAGCAAAACAACCCTGTAGACCTCCCGCATCACCCTGGTCCTGAAAAGCTTCCTCCAAGACAGTGGCCTGGTTGAGCCCTGTGTGGGAGCCCATTTTTTGGGTTCCTCGTGGCTTTACCCAGCAGGTCAACATAGAGGATGATTAGGACCACGGGCCTGAGTGCAGGTGTCTGAGATGGTCTGCACTTGGCTGTGCTGGGGGAGGAGGTCTTTTCCTCCACCGCTTGGCATCTCTATAAATACCCTGGGGCCCGATGGAAAAGGTTCCAGGCCCTCTCGAGGCTATCCTTTATTTTCTATCTATTTATCTCCGCAATATTCTCCGCAATAAATCCTTCTATCTAATATTTCCTGCTGCTCACACTCAAGAAAACTCTGGGGAACTGTGGGGTTGGTGGGTAAACGCCCCACAGCCCTGGTGGCTACAAGAAGAGCTAGGGAAGGTAAGGGTCCCGGAGCATGGGTCAGACCATGTTACCAGGCCCGAGTACGATTCCTTTGTTAGGTGGGCACAACACAGGCAGCATCTCCTCCTGTAATTTGCAGTCCAGACACCAGGTGGAGAAGTGAACCCCACAAAGGAGACAAGCTCCACAAGAAAGCCAGGCTCCTGCTACCACAGGGACTCCTGGGGCCAGAAAGGAGGAAGTAAAGGAGGTAGGGTAGTCTGGGGTTCCAAGTCCAAGGCTCCAAGCATCCCTGCAACCCCCTGCCTCCAGTGTCTGTCTGCACCCACGCGGCTCCAGAGCCAAGGCGAAGGCAGGAGAGGCACCTGTGTCCACAGAGTCATCACTCACGTACACTCAGGTGCATCCTCTCCCCTCAGGTCGCGCTTTGGACAGAAGTGCCCTTTGGACGGAGGTTTCCAAGAACAACCCATCAGCAAATTCAGGCTCAGGTAGGGCTGTAGGAAAAGCTAGAGTGCTGACAGGGGAAGCTTGGAGATCAAAGCTACCCTGGCTCCTCCTTTAGTTCTTCAAAACTGCGGCCATGCACAGCCCGACTGTAGGCTGTCAGCTGTCCGCTGTCTCCCCTCAGGAGCCTTGCGGTACTGTCCACCCCTCTTGAAAGCTGCCGCATATTCCAACTTCTGAAAGCTTAGGCTTTTGTGAACCTCCCTACTCTGCCCACACCGATGGCTCTGAACCTCAGAGGTGGAGGCAGGGAGTCTCCAATGGGCTGGCTTTGTTTGGTTGGTTGTGGGTGGGGTTTGGCGGTGGGAGGTAGAGAGTGGGGGGGATTGGGAGGACTGGGGGGGGGGTGGAGGGGAGCTCCCAGAGGAAAG